GGGTTTAGGGTTTAGGGTTCGGCCCCTTCATTATCCCAACAGCAATTGCCATCCTGCCTGGCCACGATTCTTAGACGCTCCCGTGTGGGACTCAGCGATAGCAGCTCTCGTGCAGACCCCCTGATTCAGACGTCGCTTCCTTCTTTTAAGTGCCGTAGGCCTTCATATTAGGATCCCTGCTATAATCCCAGTCCGTCTTTCAGGCTTGTTTGAGGCCTTCATATTAGGATCCCTGTTATAATCCCAGTCTGTCTTTCAGGCTTGTTTGAGTTTAGGGTCTGTGATTTTAGGGATTGGGGTCTAGCGCCTGCTTGATGACCTCCCGATACTCCACCTCCGGCACTTCAATAATACGCTCCTGCAGTGGAGAAGGGAGGGGGGTAGGGAGCCTTAAAACCGGTACTGAGGACCTAATAAGGCCAATTTAAGGAATTATAGTCCCGACTCCCCTCCCCCCTACCCCCCCAAGGGTCCCTATGATAACATGGGGACTTCAACAATCAGAACAGAGTTGCGGCATGTGTTTGATATTGTAACCATAAGGAAGAAACTAGGCACTTAGAACAAAGCTCTGGGTTTGTTATATACTGTAACCCTAAACCCTAAACCCCAAACCTTCAAACCCTAAGCCTAAGTCCTAAAAACCTAAACCCCTAAACCCTAAACCCCTGAACCCCATGGTAAGGAACCCACATGACCAAGCCCGAAGCCTTGAACAGGAGTCTGAATGATTCGAAGAATGTTTTGCGGGATGTAGCGGGACTACAATTACAGGGTATCCGGGGTGGATTATTCGGACCCTGTTGGTGCACAACCGGGGTTTCTGAGTTTACTGAGGCTCAGGAAACTTTGTTTCGTGCTTCCTGCTTAAATCGCCAAGTTAGTTGACATGCCTCCTGAGCCAGACTTGGTTTAGTCGCGGCGGTCGCGGTGGTGGCTATGGTGCCGGCGGTCAGGGCGGTGGCACAGCCATAGTAAGAGCCAGCGAAGAAAAACTCGGCAGGACTGGCACAGCAGCAGTTGCACCTGTTGTTCCAGGCTCGGAGATGTTTGTCGATGTTGTCGTCCCCTTATTGTCAACACCACGTTAAGAGCTAGCCCATCAAGCTGTTGATGAAGACGAAGAAGATGATGATAAAGATGCTCATAATGACGATGACGATAAGAATAAGGAACATGATCATGATGATAATGCTGATGATGGTGATGGCGATGATGGTGAGGATGATGATGCTGATGATGAAGATGGTGACGAGGATGGAAGGTCTGGAGATGTCGTCTTCAGGCCGCTGTGGTGAAATCCCTAACTCCAAGCCCCTTGTGGCAGCCTTTCATGACCTACTTATCTTGCTGGTCTTCATGTTAAAAACTGCAACGCAGGCGGGAAGCATGGAAGTTCATAGCAAATGTCGGCGATGCAGCAAACTTCTTACCGAACACCGCAAGAGAGATGTACTTTCAGGCGTATCCAATGGAACACCATGTGAGACCTCTCTGGAGCACAAATGACTGCATAAGTGGAAGAAGCTTCAACCTGAACTAAACCGTAAGCCCTAAACCCTGAACCCCTAAACCCTAAACCTTAAACCCTAAACCCTGAACCCCAAGACTTCGTGCCCCCAAACTGTAAGGCCTAGGCTCGCAGGTCTCGGAAGTGCCGTATCACGGCCAAGCTCAGAAGGGTTAGGGTTTAGGGTTTAGGGTTTAGGGTTCAGGCCGTTTAGGGTTTTTGATTTAGGGCATTTAGGGTCATGGGTTTTAGGATTTATCGGGTTTAGGGTTGAGGGGCTGGGCCCGGTCCTCGTAGATGATCTGAGGCACTTCCACCACCTTCTCGATGTATTCGATCTTGTGCACCTCCACCTGTCTAGGACATTTTCAGGTGGGTCGTTACCGTTATAGGAGCCTTATAGAAGGTCTATATACCATATGGAAGCCTTATTGAAGCCTTTTTTACCCTAAACTGCCCACCTCCCTAACCCTAAACCCTAAACCCCAAACTCCCCACCTGTAGTTTCCTTTGAACCTGGGGGGCTCAGGGTTGAGACGAGGGCTTCGGTTTTAGGGCTTTCGGCTGCAAACCTCCGAGCCTCAAAGTGTGAGCCCTAAACCCTGAACCCTAAACCGGTTTAGGGTTCAGGGTTTAGAGTTTAGGGTTTAGGGATTGTGGGATTTCGGTTTCGGGTCTAAGGTTGTAGGGTTAGGGTTTAGGGTTTAGGGTTTAGGTTTGGGGTGTTAGGGTTTAGATCTTGATCTTGAGTGTTGAGTTTCAGGGTTGAGGGTGTAATACTGTAGGCTTAACCCTAGTCATTGGTCCGCCTGCTTGTCCACGTACTGAATCTCCACGCGAGGCACCTCCTTGATAACCTCGTGGTATTCTATCTCCGGCACCTGGCATTGCGGTTTCGTGCCAGGGACCTAACCGAAACCCTCAGCCCTCCCTGCGGGATCCTGCGGGCTTGGTAGATAGGTCCTTCTTGGTGACTACCTATACAAGTGCCCAAATAAGGCTATCCTACCCTAAACCCTAAACCCTAAACCCAAATAAGGCTATCTTACCGAGAGCTCTGCTCCTGACCGACCTCCGAAGCCCCCTCATCCTTTTATTCGGCAGCTCTAAACCCCAAAAACCCTAAACCCTAAACCCCTAAACCCCCAAAACCCTAAACCCCAAACCCCTAAACCCTAAACCCGAAACCCTAAACCCCTAAAGCCGAAAGCAAACAATCGAGGCCCCCCTTAGGCACCTCAGCCGCGCACTCGAAACCGGCGGAACGAAAAGACTGAACCTTGCCTAATGTAGGGGCCTTAATAATTAGAATAGGGTTTGGGGTCTATTATGCTGTACTTAAAATAAGGAACCCCCAAAATAGTATAGGTAATTATTAAGGCCCCTATATTACCCTCTGTTAAGGACCATAAGGGCTTCATTAAGGGGTGCTTGGGGGTCTGGTACAGCGGATAAACTTAAACACCAAAGTCGACGGACCAACGTCTTCCACAAACTTCAGAAGCCGAAAAATCTTGAAACCCGTTTAGGGTTTAGGGTTTAGGGCCTGATCCCTAGGTTCCTCAGCGTCCCCTCGAAAATAAGGGCACAAGTCTTCCTATTGTTCAGTTGTACTACGGAGGCCCCCAAAAGTGCATGCAGCATGAGGATACTACTGGGAGACCTAGACGCTAGAGCCTAAACTAAACCCTAAAAACCCTAGAGCCTTACATCTCGTGGCACCTCCACGATGCTGTCGTGGATCTCGTGGAGCACCACCTCGGCAGTGGGCGCTACGACGCGAGGTGCGACAGGTTCGGCTGCGAGGGTCAGGAGTTCTGCCTTTCGGATGTCGGGGGTCACTAATGTAGAAGCCTTAACAATTAGAATAGGGTTTTCGGGCCCAGTATACTATAGTTATCGTGAGGAACCCCCAAAATAGTATTGGTAATTCTTAAGGCCCCTATAGCAACTATGATCTGCAACGTAAGTCGCTTTGGGGGGCACCCCCAAGCCCAAATGCAGAAACAAGGGAGACAATCCAGAGTTTCGGTACGGCTTAAGTCGCATTGGTTGCTTCGCGGCTCAAGGTCTTCAGGGATCTGAGGTTGAAGATTTTGAGAGATGGGGGTTTGGGATCCTTATCCTAACGCCATTGATACCGTGGTAAATCGTGTCACAGATCCTAAAGCTTAAGCTATACATCGGTAGTACTACCCTGTCAGCCCTTGTTACAAATCTTGTAGGCCTGTGGACCACATCAAATTTCTAATTTAAAACCGGAAGACCCTAAAGCTCTAGACCCTTAAGCCCCCACCCCAAATCCCTAACCGCAAACCCCCTTGACCAACCCTAAACCCCGAAACCCCCAACCCTAATCCTAAACCCTAAACCCCCAAGATGCTTACCCTAATCCTAATCCTAAACATCTTTAATCTTATCAACCCTAAACCCTAGTCCTAAACCCAAATCCCTTTAACCCTGAACCCAAAACCGACCCAACACTCGGCCTCCACTGGATGCTCGACAAGCTGCACCTGTGCCAGGGCCATTGGGTCAAAAGTTGACGAGCACTATTTAGGGTTTAGGGGTTTAGG